TTTCACACCTTGTTTCTGAATATGCCACAAAACATGTTTTACGGTGTAAAAATGAATTGCCAAATAAGTTTGGTTAAAAACAGTTTTTGTGTTCCTTTGTAGGCTGATGACAGTAAAACATCAGTGAGGGATCGATTTAATGCAAGACAATTTATGTCATGGTTACAGGACGTTGATGATAAATTTGACAAATTAAAGGTATATTTCTTTCCATTTCTTTTTTTTTAAGTCTCTAATGACACTACAAAGATGGTAGTAGATTTAAGTGCGATATAAATTATCGTAGCAGCTTTGAGACACATAAGGGAAAGTCTAGCAATATTAAAACAAAAAAATCTGTTGATGCATAATTTAGTGGAATAAAGTGACTTGAATATTTAGGTGACCTCCTAAAAACATAGTGAGGAAACCACTTATTCACATCTAAGTGTGTCTTCCACATTGCTAAAGAGGTGGTTAGAATATTTTTTATTTCTTAAATTTTCATTATATATTTTTTTAATATTGAAATAACTTATTTTTAATTTTTTAAATAGACATGCCTTTTGATGAGGCAGCAGCATGAAGCAGCAGCTTTAAATGCGGTACAGAGACTGGAGTGGCAGCTTAAACTACAAGAACTTGATCCTGCTACATACAAATCTCTCAGCATTTATGAAATTCAGGAGTTTTATGTTCCTCTTGTTGATGTTAATGATGACTTTGAATTGACGCCAATATGACAACTAGCATCATCTGACTCTTCCAGTTGGACAACTAAAGACTGATGTGCAGTGATATACAAATGTACTTTTAAGACAGAGCACTTAATTTTGTGGAATATGACCTTTTTCAATAATTCAGAATTTCTTCAGAACAATGTTAAACAGGGTTTTGTTCAAAAACAGAAGTTGGATGCTAATTTTAAAAATCAGTTCCCCAGTTAATACTGTTATCTGTATTTTAAAAGTTGCCTATAGCTTTAGGGCTTATTGCTAAAAAAAAAGATGACAAAACAAACGGTGAGTTAACAGCGCTGGAAGCTGTTAATAACTGAAACAGCCACCGAAAAATAAATGATACTTAGTCTGCTATAAAGCTTTGTTGTATTAAGAAACTTCAGTAACAGTTGAACTCCCACAGAAAAAAAAAAAAGAAAGAAAGAAAGAAAAAGCCTGTGGAAGAAAATATAATATTTGAAGGAAAATAGTCTATTAATCTTATTATATTTTGTAAATTATTGTACAGTTTTCTTTTTGAAAAAAGATGTAATATTATCTTCATTTTTTAATAATTTATTTTATACATATTGTGCAAATGTAAATAGTCTTGTAATTAATGTTCAAACCTGTATAAAATAGATATTTTAATTATAAAACTGTTTTTGTCTGATGTTTTATTGGACCAAAGTTGTAGGGTTTTTTTAGGTGTAGTGTGTTCCTGTTGGCAGTTTTTTAACACGGCATGTGCTCGATCTAGCTGCTTGTTTCATCGGCGTAAGTGTAAAACCTGCATCTGAACTGTGCTGCATGCTTCACAGAGCTCCAAACCCCTTTACATCCATAGCTGGTACCTAAACAACTGTAATATTTATAAGTCCATATTTCATATTAGTCTATAATGCCATACCCATGACTTACTATACGAAAAATATTTTTGTGTAAAACATTAAAAAAAAAAAAAAAGCTCTTATATGGTGGTCTCGTAATAGAGCCTATTTTTTCCAACAAAATGCCTTTGAATGAAAATTCTTAAATTGTATATTGTCTATTTTAATATTAATCTATGGAAGAATATGTAAATAGTTGTAAATATAATGTTTAATAAATTTTATTGGTCATGTTATTAGTTGGAGTTTCTTAATATTGTAATTTTTGATGTATTGTGTTTTATTTTTACTGTTACAGGGAATATGTAAAGAGGCTCAACTGAAAACAAACAAAAAATTCCTGCGTTACAGAATTTAACACTTTTTAATTCTCAGTCCTGTTAATGAGGAGGCGGTTAATTATTTATCAGTGGAAGGTTATAGATATTCATGAAAAGAATTGTTACCATCTAGGCCATAAAATATTCAAGAATGCTTGGGATCCGATTTCGGTGAAATTACATGGGAGAGAAATAAGGCTTTATGCAAGCGACCCGGTTGCCTGCAAAAGCGATGCAGCGCGCTTGGTTCGAACTGATTTGTGATTGAATGGGAGAACTGGAGGGCAGCGCGGCTCTCCCATGCGCGCCTCATTGCTGCTTGCAGACAAGAGCAGTAATGGCAACTCCAACACGTTAAAGGCGGATAAAGCACCCGTTAATACCTAATGCCTGCCCTTTTCTCCCCCACATACACACGCTTTTAATTTGTTAGGTACTGGAGGAAGGAAAAGCTGATCCTGCTTTTACAAAGGAGTGTCTTACTGGTATCACTCAGGACTGAAAGTGTATTTAGGAACATACAGATGTAATTTTTTCCTGAAAGTAAAATTTGGAAAGTAATACAAATATCTGTATTTGGAGAAGTTGGTTAAAAGACAGGGGAAAAAAAGAAATTGAGCTGCATGCTCTTAAGTGGTAAATGGGCACAACTTCCCTGCCTCCTAATATTTACAATAGTAAGAAGTAAACGTGTGGGAAGTGGAAGAAGTTTATACAGCCTTTTTGAAGTGTTTCATTAAAATAAAAAGTACTGAGTATTGCTCGTGTCAGGCAGTGGATGTGGGGAGTGAGGGCAGAACCCTGGGAAGGAGGGGACAACCGGGTGGAGGTGGAACGTGGTGACTGCGCAGCTCCCTGAGCTCGCCGAGGGAAAGGAGCCCGCAAACAGCAAGGATTGGGAATCTGCTGGAGCCGGGACACAGAGGCCGTGTCCTGCGTGAGGCCGTGAGGGCCACGGCCAGAGGGGGAAAGCAAGTCCCTGCCCGAGGCATAGCTGCAGAAACACCTATTGTCAACAAAAATTTCTCTGCAGGTTTAGCCTGCGTTTTCTGCACTAGGAGAGAAGACCGTCTGTGATGCAAGCTGTGGGCGAGGGTTTGGTTTTTGTCCAACTGAGATTGATGAATAAAAACTTCGTTGTTCAGCGAAAGGAGACTGTCCCGGAGCATTTCTGTCCCTTGGACATCTCCGGGCTTCTCTGAACCCAGCCTTTGTGCCCGTAACGTGTTTTCCTTCTGGGACCCTGCCTGCGCCCTGGGTCCTTCCAGGGGTGCCACTCGCCGCCTCGGTCCCT